ATGGTTCAAGTCCCAGACCCAGTGACTTAAAACTCAGATCAGGTGCCCAAAATATGCACCCAAAATCCCAAGAGAAGAATGGAGGAGAAGGGTTTATGGCATGGCTGTACCTCCCCCCGAGGAGGTACTGTCTGTCTTTCTGTCTTTCTTTCTGTCTTTCTGTCTCTCCAGCGAGTGCACACATCCTATAGCAAAAATCTCCTAAAAAAAAAAAAGAAAAGAAAAAGAAAGAAATTAATGTATTCTGATCCAACCCCCCTGAAATTAAGGTTAACTCATAATCCTCAGATGGTCCACATGCATATCTAAATTTGTGACTGCATGGTCAATATCATGAGCCATCAACTCCAAATACTCATTAAAGGAGCCAGAAAGATAACATAAGAGAGTGAGGCAAGTTGAGTATTGTGGGGTATCATCCAGATATAGACTGCTCCCCATGCTCAATATCTGGCTTTCTTCTTCCTCCTCTCTCAGAGAGTGACCTCTAGCCAAGGCTGGGCTCTGAAGAGTGAACATGTCCCCGGTAATGAATTGCAGAGTGCAGGCAGCTGAGCTGGGAGAGAAAAATTAGTTGATTGCAAAACTCTGTAAGAGTCTGAGGAGACTGACTGCACATGCTCAAACTTGTTTTGCTCTGAAAGCTATAAAGCCACTTGCAGCACTGCATAGAAATGTGGATTCTTCTCCCTTAAGTCAAATAAACGAATTTATTTACCTGTGGGACCTCTGGGTGACTTCTTTGGAATAGGTAAACACTACCTGCATGCCCTTTCAGATGTGGGGTTTCTGTCTTACAAATAAAGAAGAGGGTAAGGAGTGGTGGGGGCTGTGGCAAACTGGAGAACTCATACATAGTATGTAAAATATAATAAACAACTGACATTCCATTTTACAGACTGTTGCCATATGGGAAGGTAGGTATACAAATGCTAAATTTTGTTAAGTATTATCAAAATTAACCAGGTTTGAAGTTTTAAGCAATATCTCATGATTTTTAACTATTGGTAACAATGGTTAAGAGTTCTTTTCCATTAATATGAGACCCAGTCACATTCATGGACTACTACTTAATCTCTAGTCAAGGCCTATAGTAAAGAAAAATTTATTTACTCAGTTAAAACACCCTCTCAAGCCCTTTCCACAATGAAATCTATGCTCTGTATTTTCATGCTTGTTTGTATTGACACTCCATTATGAGCCTTGTGTACTGTTTTCACACTTACTCCAAGGTTCATTTTTGGCTTTAGACACATGAAATCTCTGCCCTTTGGAGCCTCAAGTCAGAATCCATTCTTATGCAGCTGATGTTCACAGTTCTCCCTCTAAGTGGAGGTGAAGTAAAAATGAGAATGGAATTATCTCATGGCAAAATAATTCCTAATAACTCCCTGGGCATTGGCAGTTGCCCTTCCATTAATGTTACTATTAATAATATATTGGCCTGTGTAGAATGTGGGTGAGTTATTGATATGCATTAAAGGTATTTAGAGCAGTGATTTTCAGACTTGATCATGTACCAGGATCATCTATTTATGTTGCAAAAACAGATTCCTAGACACAATCCCAGAGTTGCAGTAAGTCTGAGTAAGGGCAACCTGACTTTGTGTTTGTAATTTGCATTTCTAACAAGTTCTCATGGGATGGATAGGTGATGATGGTCCAGGAACCGCACTTTGAGAACCACTGGTTAGGCAGAAAAACAAAACAGGCTCTATTTAGTTAGAAAACATTGATGTGACTGTAACAGTCATTAAAATATTGAACCACACAAGTTACTTTACAACATTTAGCCATGCTGGTCCAAGTCCCAAGGACCCCTCACAATACATTTCTATATTCCATCTATTAAAGACTTTGAGGTGCGTGTGTTCTTCCTGGTTAATTCCTGAGCTCAGGTTTGTAAGATAAAACCGCGACCAAACATAAAATATTATGGGAACTTCTGTTTTTATATTTTCAGGCATAGGACAAGCAACCTCCCAGGACTCACGGATGAGTTTAGGCATATTGCACAACTCACTTGCACTGGCCTTCCTAGTTTTCTATGATGTCTCAGGGCCCTTTCACTGGTGGTTTCTTCTCTCTGGAAAATGTCTAGTGCTTACTCTTCACTACTTATTACTTCAAGTTTTAGAATTTTTAAAATATCCCCGCTTCGAAAAAGCCTTTCCTTACATTACAGGCTCTTTTCAGTTTCTCTCATTTCATAGCATAACTACAGTTATAATTAACTAATAGCCTAATGAGCTATATGTGTTATCTGAGGCCCTTCCCACTCCTCCTTCTCCATGTAAGGTCCAGGACAGTAAGCAGCTATGTGGGTGGGTCTTATTTTTCTACCCATAGTATGTAAATACTCAATAATTGTATATTTAATAAGTACATGAAACCATTTTCAAGTCTCAACTTGCATGCTATGTGTTCTATGATGACACCATTCCTCATGACCACAGGTCAACTGGAAGCCTCTCCCTGTATACTCTCCAACATGTAGATAAAGCTAATCATAATTTTTTAATCTATTATAATTATTGATGTATCTATTTCTGTATTAGTCTCTAAGCTACTTGAGATGAGGATGGGCATTTTCTTTTGTCCAATCCTAAGAAACAGGAGTTTCTTGTGTAGATAAGGAACTCAGTAAATATTTGTGGAATTGAATGTCCAAAAGCAAAATGACTACATACTGTTTTACAATGAAATCACTTCCTCACTCTAATAAATATGTGTTAGACTTGAAACTTTTAAGTATAAATAATAAGGAATTTTCCCCCTTTTGGTTCTTAAAATGTTAGAATTTTAGCCGGACGTAACAACAACAAAAATAAGGAATGATATCACAGCCAATTCTCATGAAATCATATATTATCAGGTCAAAGGATAGACTGAACCAATAAAGTGACAGATTTACATACTTTGAAATGCTAAAATGGTGTTCATTATTTAAGAGGTAACAAATAACAGCTTTCATTTTTTACTTTCACTTAAATGGATGCCTCATTTCCTTTGTTCTCCGGTAAAGGAAAATGTCTCCTTTTTGAGTTCGATAGATCAAAGTTTGTTTGCACAGATTTCTGATTGCAATGTGCCTCAGGGTAAATGTGTCTCTATAATGTCAATAAATGGTGCAATCTGAATTATTTTAAACTCTGTTATGTGTATAATTTGTGTTTTTAAATGTGCTAATTTATGTGAATTTCTGGTAAGGATTTCTTAAATGAGAATAATAAACTATTATTCCAAATTATGTCCTCCTTATAAAATCAGTGTTCAATATATTATGGTTTCTAAAAATGCTTTCAATATGACTTTCATAAAGAATACTTTCTGTAAAATAGATAATAACTGGTATTATTTGAGTCTCCAATTTTGCTTAAATTGGGGTCAGCAGATGGTATACTAGTTAAGGCACTGGACTTCTACCTGAATTACCATAGTTCAAGTCCTGGACTTGCTGGCTTGAAAATCACACTGGGAAATTGTGCGTGTGTACCCAAAATCCCAGGAGAAGAATGAAGGCGAAAAAAATTGATGTGTGGCCATCCCTTACAAGGGGTGATTTCTTACTTTACCTCTTTCTCTCTCTCTTTACCTCTCTCTGTCTCTGTCCATGAACATACATGCCTCATGACAAAAAACAAACAAACAAACAAACAAAAAAACAACTTGAAACATTTGGTTCAATTAAAGGGTGAATAGCCTCAATTTGTATTTTCATCCTTACCGTAAAGTTGTGTGATTATTAAACAAATGTATTACATCCCTGATGCTGGAAATATAATTAAAATTTTTTTAAGAACTTAATAGTAGGGCATATAACTGGCCTGTGAACCTAGGCCTTTGGATTTTAAATCCATTACGCAGCCCACAATTTTGTATGTCTTTGAAAAAAAAAAAAAACACTTTCACTTAACTATTTCTGCATCAAAAATTACTTCAAAACTTAAATTCTTATTCTTAAAATAAGAATTTATGATTTCACCATAATTGTATAGATCGGGAATATAGGCAGGAATCAGCAAGGCTGTTGTTTTTTTCTGGGGCCATGCCTTAGGCTGCATTCATTTGGAATCTCACTTCTAAAATAGCATTTAATCTCCCAAGATCACTCTGTAAGTGGTCTCTAAGCATGTAGCAGTCTAGCCTGGACTCCATTAGGTCATGGAATCTGGGCTCCAAGAAAATACAGATGCTACTAGTTCTCTTAACAGCCTACACTTGGAACTTGTGCAGTATCAAGTCTGCCACATTCTACTGACAAAACAAATTGAAAGGCAAGACTACATTCATGAGGATGGGAAATAGATCCCCATCACTTCATGTGAAGAGTGAATAGAATTTGTGGTCATCTTTAGCCAACACATACTCAAGTAATGGGAATAGAAACAAATGATTGCCAGGATATTGCTAACTCAGTTACCAGAGATCTCTCACACTATAGTTAGCATGTTCACATTTAGTTAGCTATGTGAAACTTTCCATAGGTTGAGATGTATGAACTATAATAAGGCTGAGAAAGAATCGTCTCAGAAGTGATTGATAGTGGGCTTTACATATGACCTTCTAATTTTTAAAAAATATTTTTTGCCATAAGTTACATGCACTCGCCGGAGAGAGAGAGAGAGAGAGAGAGAGAGAGAGAGAGAGAGAGATAAAGTGAGAAATCACCCTCCAGCGGGAGAGGACACACAGCAATCCCTTCTCTTCCTTTCTCCTCTTGGGATTTTGGATATGCACACAAATGTGCCCTGCATGATTTTCAAGCCACTTGATCCAGGACTTAAACCTTGGTTGACCATGTGGGAGTCCAGTGCCTTAATCACTATGCCACCTGCTGGTCCCCATATTACCTTCTTAATGTCCAACAGATACTAAAACCTGAGCACATGCCATAAATGATGAATATGTACTGGTTTACCTAGTTATTAGTTTAGTAATAATAAGTAAAATTTCTTTAATAGAGATAATAGACCTTTGTTTCTTCTTCAAATTTTCAGCTTACATAAAGTTCTAATGGATCTCCAGAATCAGAAACTGAAAGAGTTAAATGACTGGTTAACAAAAACAGAAGAGAGAACAAGGAAAATGGAGGAAGAGCCCTTAGGACCTGATCTTGAAGACCTAAAACGCCAAGTACAACAACACAAGGTTAGTATATTTTATTCTGTATGCTTTTTACTACAAAACAAACTGTGTTTATGGTGTATGTAATGCACCAAGTACACAGGCGTCATAGTTAACAGATAGAAAAGAATTAAAGCTTCAAATCAGCAAGAGTTTAAAAATAATTTTGTACATGGGGGCCACTAAGGCGCTGGACACTCCTACATGGCTGACCACGGTTTGAGCCGCAGAACTGGTGCTTTGCTTTCTCATTTTCCCTCTCTGTCTTTCTCTGTCTCTCCCTGGTCAAATTAAAATAAATTACTGAATAAATAAAATTAAAATAAATAATTCTTTAAAAGAAACTTCTGTACCTAATCTTTGTTGCTATGGTTTGAATGGGTTTGTCTCCAAAATTTAGGTGTTGCCAATGTGATAGTATTAAATGGTGGGACTTTTAAGATGTGATTCGACGATGAAGGCTATTCCCTTATGAATGGGACTAAGAGTCTTACGAGCTTCAAATAGCATATTGCTTTCTCTTGCCCTTCTGTCTTCTGCCATGTGAGGACACAGCAAGGAGACCCTCACCAGACACCAGATGCCAATGCCTTGATCTTAGACTTCCTAGCCTCCAGAACTGTGAGAAATAAATTTCCATTCTTCATGAATTACACAGTCTCATTTTTTAAATAGAAGTACAAAATGGACCAAGGCATTTTATCTCAAATATGACAGAAGCTTTTCATATTTGAAAAAATATCAAACATATTCTGGGAAGAGTATAATGCAGGGTATGTGATTCATTAAAATTTGTATTTCCTGGAAACAAGCTTCTGTAAGGATTGCCTGCAATGCAAATTTAAATGATAAGACTAAGGAGTTTTTTGTTTTGTTTTGTTGCAGTTTTACAAATATTTACATCCAATTCATAATAACTTGAAGCAGGTCACTCTTGATTTTAAAAAAAAAGTATAACATTGCTTTCCTATTAAATATAACATCTTTTCATTTTAATATTTCCATCTTTAGTTCATTAATACTTTTGCAGTTATGCTTCCTGGAAGCATTTACTTTGTAGACAGAAGTCTGACTGTTTTTTCCTAAATCCTTTCCAGAGGGTTTAGAGGAAGTCAGGTTTCAAACATTAACACACCATTTTGACCCATAGGTAACTGGATTCTTCCTACATACTGCCCTTGGCATAGTATTGGAGTATCTTTGTGATATATATTAAGCCTCCTTATCACTGTTAGAGTACATTCCTTTATGATCTCAGCAACCTTCTTTCTTTCTTTCTTTCTTTCTTTCTTTTTTTTTGGAGAGTTTTTTGCCATAAGGCGCACGCGCTAGCCAGCCAGACAGAAAGAGACAGAGAGACAGAAAGTGAGAGATCACCCCCCAGGGGGATGGCCACACTGCAATCCCTTCTCCTCCATTCTCCTCTCGGGATCTTGGGCATGCACGCACACAGGCCCGGCGTGAGTTTTAAGCCACCAGGTCCGGGACGTGAACTATGGTTGACTATGTGGGAGTCCAGCGACATAGCCATTATGCTAACTGCTGGTCCCAGCAACCTCCCTTTTTTAATCAGCATCCTAAAAAACTGTAAAAACCCACCTATAACTTATAAGCCTCCCTCCCCACATATCCCGCCTTTTTGAGCCAGACCAATGGAAAAACTTTTCACTAAATTCTGAAGTGTCTCTTGCTCTCAAGATCAAATAAAAGGAACCCCTGTACCTGATCACCCCAAGAGAAAGGCATATTTTGGAAAAATAGGAAAAAGCAGTCAGATTTCTGTCCACAGATTTTTTTTGTTTCCAGGGAAGAGCACAAACACAGTCCCCCACTACCACAAATTATGCAGTCGAGTTTCCCACAGATTTTCGTCACTGGGATTTTTACAGGAAAATTTTTGATTCAGGAGTATGAAGGCGCTTCATTCTAATTCATTTTATAAACTATTAAAATTAGTTCTGGCTTTTATTGTTGGAATAAGGACCATGCCCAGTCTATGAGGAAGTCTATGAGAATATAGGGAAAAATATTTGCAGTTGGGCCAGAGTTATTAGGGTTATCACATTTAGCAAACAAAAACACAGAAGCCTTAATTTTGAGTTCAGATAAACAAGTACATTTTTTGTGTATATGTCCCAGATGATTCCTTGCTTATCTAAAATTCAAATTTAGCTGGACATATTTTATCTGGCAACTACTCAGGATCTGTGGTTTTTGGATTCATGCCTTTGAAATGAAATAGCTGCTCCTTCAACTCATTCCTCCTAAATCTGCTTTTTGCCCAACTTCATTCTCTCTTTTGAGGACATTTTGTCAGATCTAACTTCAGAGTTCTTTCTCTTCCATAAAGATAAAAGATATCTTTTTTCCTAAGTTCCAGAGGGTTTTTTTTCCCCCCTACTTAATCATCTTCAGGTCCCAATCACAAATGAAGTTAGCCCTTGATATTAGTACTCCTAAAGCAGTTCATTGGCCAGGGCAGCTTAAGATCAAGCATTCAGGGGAGAGCTATAGCTATGGTAATCCCCATGCACTATTCCATCAGGGAAAAGAAATTATATGTATTATGCATCAACTGTATTATAATTATCACGAATTATGACAAAGCTAGATTAACTGGTCATCAGTTGTAATTGAACATCTGGTAAAGTAGCTCAATTCAGTGCTATTTCACTAATTGTACCACATTTTCTGTGTGGGTCATGCACTCTTCTTGTAGACACTGTGCCTACCCTCTTCCTCTTGGTCCACACTGAAGATTGCATACAGAGTTTCTGTACACGGTAATGGTTTCTCTCTATTTGGAGCATTTGCTGGCCACAGGAGCATCTCAGCCAAATTGATGGTGAACAGGAAGTGAAGTTAGTGCCACCAGAGCTGAATCTCCACAAATCTTTGTCCCCTGGTGGAATGATTTCAAGATGGACTCCCCACAATCTCACAGTAATTTCCTGTGAGCCCCAAATGTCCACAGGATAGCTTCATGTTTTCTTCATCTCATAAGACCTCATGAAATCAGTTTCTAAATTATTTCCTTCCACATATTTCACTAAGGATCTGTGTGGTAGGAATTTTCTCATCCTGGAAGCTAGAATTCTAATTCCTACTCTATCAGGAAATGTGTAAATTTCAGAAATCGCTTAAGCTCTATATCTTCACTTTGAAATTAAGTGGCAAGCCAATTGGTTTCCAGTGTTTCTTCAGTCATGATTTTAATGTATCTAATAGTTTGGAATTGTAAGGTATTTCAGGGAAGGACAAGACTAAGGCAATCACATTTTTCATCAGAAGACCAAATGGTGTTGCTGGATGTCTGGAATATGAAGAGGAAGCCAGGAAGGTGAACTCAAAAAGGGAGATGGAAGAAGGGTGTTAGGGTAGTTAAAAGTGTGGATAACTTAGGGAAACTGTGGCGAAATGTCTTAGCTGGGATTCTGAACAGAGTTTTTTTTTTTCTTTTTTCTTTATCATTTGTGATAGTGTATGTGTGTGCAAAGAGAGAGTGACAGACAGACCCTCCATAGGGGCTAGTCACACCATGATCCCCTTCATCTAGCCCTCCAGTTCATTAGATCCTGGGCACTGACACATGCATCCAGCATGTTGCAGGCTGCCTAGCCTGAGGGATGGCGCCACAGTCACCATCTGGAATCTGGCTACTCTTGAGCAGTGCATTACTACCATGCCATGGAGCCAGCTCTCTGAACAGGCTCTTCATTATGGCTAGACAGCCTCTCCAGGATCTTAATATTCTGAAAATTACCTGAAATGTTTTGCACTATCAAGTGAACAGAATGGGAAATATTTGACTAATATTGTCATAAAATTTGAATGTACTGTCCATTATGTGAAAATATGCCCTTTCTGATGACTATGAAATTGCTTTGAAGAAAATAATTTGAAACAAAAATGCAACAAGATTATGTGCAAGTTGGAATGTAACATTTTACACCCAAGACTTATTCATATAAAGTACATAAAAAGAACATAAGAAATCGGTTTGCTGATTCAGACAGAGAGGTCGACTCCGACATTTAACTGTTCAAATACTCTTTAGAATAGGTAAACTTTTCATAAAATTAAGAAAAATGAAAGGTACATAGTCAAGAGAAGAAGGCCCAACAGTTAATAATACTCCTTTGTTACTTCAAAGTATGTTTGGTGAGAAGAAAATCTTATAAAATCAAATAATTTAAAAAGGGGTTTAATTTATTTAAATGAGAAAGATATCTTTGCTTAAAAATGCATGCTAAAATTCTGTGTTATTCTTGCCATGCTTTATAAAATGAAAGATAAGTATTCTTCCTTTAGGTGACTGAGTTAAAACTAAGTAATTGTTGACTCCCTTTATAATCTTCCGCCTACTCCAGAATTGTAAATCAACGAATATAGGGAAACTTTTCTTTCTGACAACTAAATACATAAGTAACCTTTGAGTATTCAAAAAAGCAGCTCCACCCTGCCCTATTACTATGCTCCTAATGTAAAATGATACTTACATTATTTGGCTATAGCTTTGTGTAAATAGACATTAAGTCCTTTAGTCATCCCCATCTAAAAAAAAAAATCACAAATGGAAAAATTAAAAGATACAGGTTTTGTTGTTGGGAATTGATTTAAATTCTACTCAGATCAGAAAGCACTCTCTTTCAATTGGAGGGCAAGATACAAATGTTTGTAAAATTCACAAGTATACCATGAATATTACAAATATGCTTTCATATACTCTGTGGCAAGATCCTTTGCTATCTTCATTTCAACAGCATTTTATTATTAGGCAGGCTAGAAATTCAGTCACTGTGAAATGCCATGACAATAAGTCACTTTTACTGAACCTGCCAATTAGGCGAGGTAAGGGCATTGATCCTGTATTGGTGGTTACTATTTAATTTAGTTAACCTGTAAATTCTGGGCAACTGAGAAAAGTTCAATTGGCTACAATATTTGGAAGAGATCATTTATTCATAGCTATTGGTTTGAGGAGAGAATTTAGAGGATTTCTTTAGATCTAAGGCACCCAAGAG